TCAGGTGATTTAAGAGGGCCGACTGAAATAATGACGCTTGAGCGAGGCGGAATAGTGACTTGTTCTTCCAGCACATTCAAGGCATGGTGTCGTGACGGCGTACGTGGCGGTAGTGCTTCTTCTGTGGATAACGTTATCGACTTTGTTTTTAGGTTGATGACAGCACCATGGAGGCATAAGAAGTCCATGCCAAGGATGACATCTCTCGAGCAACGCTGTAGGACTACGAAGTCTGTAGGATAAATACGGCCGTTAATGGTGACTCTCGCTCTGCAGATTCCTGCAGGTGTTAGGAGATGACCTCCGGCTGTGCGAATTTCAGGACCTTTCCAAGCTGTCCTAACTTTCTTTAACTTTGCGGCGAACGACCCACTGATGACAGAATAATCGGCTCCAGTATCGACGAGAGCGGTCACACTGTGGCCGTCGATAAGAACGTCGAGGTCGCTAGTTCGCCGTCTCGCATTACAGTTAGGGCGTGGCGTCGGGTCACGGCTGCGTCGGCTTGTTCCGCTGCTTCCATGTTGCGTCGTCAGGCCACCTTCGGTAAGTGAGCTTTCGCCGTCAGGGCTTTGCCTGGTTGGCGTTGTGTTCGGAAAGCTCCGTCGCGGCGTCGGCGTCGTCGGAGGATCTTCGGTAGTTCGTCGCACAGCAACCGCACCTCCACCGGTTGCTGCCCTTAGTTTCCCGACCGGCCCCGCGTTGGGCCAGAGTACTGCCGGTGGTGCGGTGACTTGCGGCGGCTTGGCGACAGCGAACGCGAAGGGCTTCGTGGTGTCAACCGAGTTCCTGTCAGGTAGTCGGCGATGTCATGGGGTCATTCTCCTGGCTGTAGACGCGGTGCATTGACGGCGAAGCCACGCAGTCCCATCTGTCGGTACTGGCAACGGCGGTATGTGTGTCCGGCCTCGCCGCAGTGATAGCAGAGCGGGCGATGGTCAGGGGTGCGCCAGACGTCAGTCTTCCTCAGTGCACTGCACTGGGCCGCTGGCGAACGGTACGACGTCGGTGGGGGTGGTGGCGGCGGTGGCGTCTGTCGACGGAAGTGTGATGGGGCGGCGTTTTGGCGTGGACGGGGAGGAGCGCTGTGGCGCAGTGCAGTGGCGTAGCTCATAGCTTCCGGCTCGGGCAGCGGTGCGTGGGGAATTTGAAGCGATTGCCGAACTTCTTCTCGCACAATGTCGGCGATTGAATCCACTTGAGGCTGCGCCGAAGGCAACAGCTTGCGCAGCTCTTCCCGCACGATCGCTCGGATCGTTTCACGCAGGTCTCCGGAGTTACTGGCTTGAGCAGCAGCACAGTCTGCAGTCAGGCGACGGTTATACTGTCTGGTGCGCATGTCCAGGGTCTTTTCGATAGTGGTCGCTTTGGCTACAAATTCTTGGATGGTTTTCGGTGGGTTTCTCATCAGTCCCGCGAAGAGCTCCTGTTTGACCCCTCGCATGAGGAAACGAACTTTTTTCTTCTCAGGCATGTCTGGGTCAGCGTGACGGAATAGTTGGGTCATTTCTTCTGTGAAAATGGCGGCATTTTCATTTGGTAGCTGAACCCGGGTCTCTAATAAAGCAGCGGCCCTCTCTTTGCGAGCGACGCTCGCGAACGTTTGAAGGAATGCGCCGCAGAAAACATCCCACGTTCGAAGCGTGGACTCCCGATTTTCGAGCCAGGTCCTTGCGGTGTCTTCCAAATAGAAGAACACACGACGCAGCTTTTCGTCTCTGGGGGAGGTGCTGCTTCGTTCATTTACCGGACGCCCCTGTCAAGCCGTGTACCCAGCACCTCCACCAGATGTCACAAGGTCGTGACGTGGCCGAAGACAGGAGACTTCGTGTTGGGATTTAACTGTTTATCTGGGCGAACCTGTGCCCGGTAAACGGAAAGTCCAATTACAGCAGCAGTCTCGCACAGATAGCAGTCTCGGACTGATAGCGGCGAACGGAGCGGCGGCCTTCGATCAACAACTGACAAGCGGCGAAGCGCGTTGGCATTTATACTCTTGCCGTCGAATGTTCTAGCGTTATCGCTGGCGGTGGCATAGGTTCCAGAACAATCTGTACCGTTCGCACAGTGGGCGTGATCTTATCGAAATGATCTACTACAGTCCGGAACCTTCTCAAAAACTGCAGGTGCGGTTTGCGCTGAGAATCGTGCGGTGTTTTCGGACGATAACAAAAACTTGGGAAATGGAACGTGGCAATATTACAAGTAACTTATTATTACAACTTATTTTATTCATAGACAATTGGCTGACTCATCTCGCAAAAAGGTCTATGCGCGCTGCTAGCCGCCTATGCACGCGAGCGCAGTGATGGTGCTGCCACCTGTTCGCCGATCTCGAGGCAAATACTACCATTAGACGCCGGGAACGCCACTTCGCCACTAGGATGCCTTGTTTTTGTCGCATGCCCCAAACAGCCAAAAGAATCATACGCTGGTACTTCTCGCGCTTTTTTTGCTGAAAAACCAAAAAGCAAGGCAAGTCAGTGGTGACAGGAAATCGAAGATGAAGAACTGCTCTTCCAAACGAGACCAAGATGGTCACAATAGCTCGTGTGTCACGGCAGCGGTTCGGCATGAAAAAAGCGCGATTTTAGCTCTATTTACGACGACATTCATCTTATATGGGTGTTAATAATCGATTTCGCACCAAAAATAATGATACGAGAAGCTAAAAACTTCTCAGGTAAATGCAAAAATAGGTACAAATTCTGAAAATGTCAGCTTAAAGAAGTTTTTTTTCTTTAATTTTCGTTCTTCTAAACCTCGTGTCTATAAGGAGCACTATGACACAAATTAAGCGTGTTGTTTTCGATGCTTCTTCTCGAACTGTGGAATGCATCGATATGGTTGTGTGAGTGAGAACTACAAAAACAAAGCTGTTGTACTCTTATTTCTACCAAGAAACCACCTTGTTTTCAGACTAGAGCAACACACAGCGCCTATTTTTGTGATCGGAAGTGACGCCTAGCCACATGCGAGGTTGTCACTCGCACAGGTTGTGTGTTTTGAGTGGTTCAATGCGACAAGTCGCACACAATATCTATAAGGTCCCAGATTGGCCACTCTATTATGAAGACACTCTTTGTACTTTCTCAGATATTTCTTTTTTTAAATCTATGAGGACAATTGCGAAAAAACGGCGCTGCAGAATGGCTACCGCAACGCAAGTCATCCAGTTTGAAGCGGCCTTCGACGTCAGCGGGGGAGTGAAATGCGAAAGGAAACATATTTTTCTCGTCGTCTGCAGGGGTTTTGAAGTTACTTCTGTGTCCGTGTATCGATTTTGATTATTCCTTTTGCAATCATCTCAGTATTCGGTGCTACACAAACTCCATTGCTGCCGAAGAAAGTGTTGCAGGGCCCCTTTAAAGGGACACTAAAGGTGAATATTAAGTTGTCGTTGATGGCTGAAATAGCAATACCTAGTAGTGTCGTGCCAAGGAAGTGCTTATTTTGAAGTAAAATCAAGTTTCAGTGGTCCGCACTGAGTTACTGCTTTTCAAGTCACCCACCTGAAAACGGGCCTCTCTGACGCAGGAGTTGCTTTGCCCAACGTTGCCTGCCTTTACTGTGCGGCCGCTTGTAGGAATGCAAGGTTACTGGAATATGGTGCTGACATTTTATGATGCTTTGTGTAACGAACTTTTGAGGGAAAAAATTATAGGAAGGCAACTTATTCGTAATTACATCGCTGCAATGCACTCACACCAAAAATAGCATGCACGGTGTTCCTGCAATAAAAGTTATGTGCTTTCTTGGTTCAAGTAGAGTACAGCCTATCCATTCTAACCAAGCGAGATTGGAACTTTTGAACCAATCACACTATTCTCCACGGTATACTAAGTGGTTCTTTTTTTGGTGAAGCAAACATAAACTGAGAAGCAGCATTTTATGGCGTGTTATAATGCATGGAAAGTTCTTATTTTGCAACTGATTTGATTACTAATGGTTAATTGTAGTCAAACCCTTTCATATAATTGGGATCATTTCAAGATGTCTTACTCGTGGTGCGTATGGTGTCATACATTTCTCTTAATTTCTCAGTAAGTGGAGCACTGCTGTTGATAAGACGGTTCTCCAACATTGATCTTTCATTCTGATGTGAATTGTTATTTGCTTTTAGTGTCCTCGTATAACATCTGTTGCACACTTGTCCAGAAGGTAACAACTACAGAAAGGTATCTGAGGAAATTCAGATGCGCCGCATCTCTTTGGCAGGCAAGGAGATTGAGCAACGTTGGATAGATAGCTCATGTGAGCTGTGCCCCGCTGAATGCGACCTTGGTGCACATTTGGTGCAAGGCTAGGCTATGCACCACGCGTCGCTACTCCTTTGTCAGAGATGATAGAATTTATCACAAATACCGAGTAATAATAAACATATCAGTGTTGCAAATGGGTCCTTTTGTTTAGCAATGCCGCAGTTTGGTCTTGTAGCTGGAGCAAGACTTTGCACATAATCATGTGTCCGATGCATGCATCGCTTTGCTTGCCAATATGCTGAGGCAAGATACTAATTTGTTGAGCTTTAGTGTTTTTTTGTTTCTTTGCCTTTCGAACCTGCCTAGGAAAAAGACTTGGTGTGCAACAGGTGATATTTAAGGCATGGTTTGCACAATAAATGATGTAGTTTGCAATTATCGCCCATATTATTCTGTGCTTTTTTTTCCTTTTTTACTTTTTTCTGTTCACTAAGTATACAGGCGTACCAACTTGCTCAGTTTTGCAGCCAACATTTTACATCATTTTACTTGATTTCGGCCAATACTCGATTATATATCGTTTGTAAATGCTCCTTTCTTTAAAAGTGTTCCATTCCTCAGCTTTTTCTTGTGATTTATGATTATATTGGTTGTTTATGCAGTTTTCATAGTGCTCAAAATTAAAGACAGACAAGTGAGCAGACCCTGACAGTCTGTGTTTTTGTCGTGATTTCACATCCCAGTGGTGACGATTTCTCAGTTCATTGTATTAAGTGACAGATATGTTGTGCCTTGCAGAATCACAGCACAAGTGCTGTCCTTCGATCAACCCCATTCTCAGATGGCTACTCAGGCTTTCGGTATGCCTCCTACAGTCCACATTTGAGGCGATCAATGCCAAATGTCAACTGGCACCTTTCAACGGACCCACCAAAGGTAATCATTATAAGTTCATTGAATTCTGGCTTTTATTGTATCTGATGTAAATGCTTGCAAAATGCTACCTTCTGCTAAATTCTTGTTTCTTTATAAGAGCGTTCTTTTTTAAGCAGCGTACCACGTATGCGTGTTTTCTTAACCACTACTTTAATGTAGGCACACTGTAGTGTCTCATACTCAACTATTTCTTACATTAGTGTCTCTCATAAAAATGTTCAACTGTACTTGGCACATAAGTCTATATGACGTGCTTTTAAAGGGGTTGTGAAACGAAAATGAAGCTGCCCGATCGCAATTATCCCTGCTTTAATAAGGATTGTACATGCCAATTCCAAAATATTTTGGCACAATATCTAGTCTATAATTAAGAACACCCATTTAAAATCGGTTTTCTTGGGCTTATAAATGACCATGCGGCCTTCCGGCCTCCATAGGCCCTAACATGTTAAGGTTGCAGCTTGGGCAAGTTGGTTCATGCCTATAAGAGGGCTGTATGGAAGCTAGAGCTGGAAGATGGACATAAGAAGGAGTGGACGTACTTGCGAGTTGTAGACAGAAGAAATGTGCAGTACCATTTTGAGAGACGGCATGTTTTTTTTTTTTTAACTAATTCGTTGAATTTGCTTCTCTCAGATAAGGAATAAGGCTTTTTAGTCTTAAGGGGAAACACTGCTCTTCAGACCCGAAAATTTGCCCAAAGATTGAATTCTCAAAAGTGTCATTTTCGTATTCTTTTTATCATCACGCACCTTCGTACAAGTTTTCTTTTCGAAATTCCGCGTATTAGTGGCGTGACAGTAAATCAAACATGCATTAGCACGGGTCGCTCCACCGCGGCCATTTTGGTATCAGTGAAACGCTCTCACTCATGCTTGGCTTTTTTTATCGCTCTGTTGGGCAACACTGAGCTTGCCGCCTTCTTATATAAAAAGGGAAAAAAAGTAAGTGTAAAACGTCATTGGCCACTTCCGATCACGTGGTTAAAATGGTGTTGTCTGATTGACTTAGGGCTCTGCATTTGAAAACCTGGGTAGTTGAGGCGTTAGTTTACGACCATCTGACGAACATGCCTGGAGAACTCAAAAAGTTCCAATCGGTGTATCAGTTCGGCTGAAAGCAAGCCAAAATGAAAAAAACGTGCTAACAGCACGACATCACGGGTTTCTGCAACTGATCAGCAAGCACCGTCGTTGCTTTGGCACCCGATAAGGCCGATGGAGGTGATTACGTTCCACTCTACAAAGGCACGGTATCGGGCCACTCTGCAATCAATGAGCAAGCGACTCATGGTGCCGAGGCATCAGACATCCTCAAGGCAGGCGAAAGCGGTCCGCAAAATAGAGGCGTGGCTTTACAATGGATGAGCAAGCGACCCACGACAGTGCAGCTGACAGCAATCCACCCGAGACTGGCTGCATTCTTCGCACCAACTCCAGCTATGCGCGAGTTGAAGCTAGAGCTGTCACGAGTAACGACAGTGCCTAAATGAGTGCTCGTGAGCAGGTCATGCTTGATCGACCTGAGTCGACACCGGCAACAGCGCGGAAAACTGCAATTTTCACTGATGCAGGCGACGCGTCATCGGCCTCCGCCGCAGACACTGCAGTTTCGTATTTGATGGTCTCGACTTGACTATTCTAAATGGGCTGCCCGCTGCTTCCCTATGGTGCAAAGTATATGGCGGGTGTACGAAACTAGTCACGGGTGACCGCAACTATGGCCTCACTAAGAAAGTAATAGTGAAGGGCGACTGTTCTGGCAAAGTGACGACAGCATGGAAATCACACAGAGTCAATGGTGAAGGCTTCATGCAATTTATTTGAGATACATTTTATCCATGCATGCAATGCTTTGCAGTGAGAATGGCCAGACAGTCATGAACGATATTTTCACCTCGATGGGACTGTCATGGCAAGGGCTGCTCAATTAAACGTTTCAATGGTAATTTTTTTTACCTGTTTTGCCAAAGTGGCATTTCTGATGGTGTCATACTGGAGCAACAATACCTCAGGTTCTGCACAACCAGTCTCAATAACTCTTTTTTTTTTTGTCAGAATGGCGGGGAATCGACTAGTACAGTAGGACTAGTGTATAATTACATAGCGAGATACCCTAATAATATTCGAATTGTAGTAAAATATTCATTCTTGCCTGACTGAACCCGTATATCATCCGCAATCAGGGTACTGTTCAAGAGATTTCCATTATTATTTCTAACTTGTCTTCAAATGTTCTTTTCTCGTTTTCTGAAAACAGCGTTTTCGGTTTAAGAGAACACTCACCTCCAATTTAGCCAATGCAAAAACACGAATTTCTAATTTTTTCAAATGTACTTGTTGCACAAAAAAATTCATTTCATATTTGAAATCAGCATGTCAAAATACATGAAGTTTGATCAGAATTCACCCATATACAAGAAAACATTAAAGTGGGGTGTCCCCCCTTAAAGAAAGCTACATTTATGTCGAAAGCTGAGAAGGTTACTTTGTCGTCTCTCACTTTTAGGTTATATTTCTCTGCAGAAAGTAAAAAGAGAGGCTATGAAGTAATGGAAGATATTGTCTCTGTATGAGTTGGTAAAATCCATTGACAAAAGCAAACAGTTGAGCCTGCATATGTTTTGTTTTTTAGCATTGACACTCTTAAAATAGATATACTCCTAAGGGTGATTGTATCGGGAAACAACACTTCACAAAAAAGCGTATCTTTGTTCTTGTGAAAGAAATTGGACCTGTTAAATGCAGTTCATTAATTTATTGTGCAAAAATGTGATAAAGTTGCGTTTTTAGAAAAATGCATTGACAAAAGCTACATGGCGTGCTTCTTTGACATAAAAGACCTCCATTATTCCTAACCGCATTGTGAACTCGTGTTATGTGTTGAAAATTGCAGCAACAACTACGATGGTGATGCTTATCAGAATCACACAGGGCTTTCAGCACAAGATTTTTTGGATCTTTTAAAAATGTACCTCAAGTTGACATTTACAACATGGGAAGATAAGCCACACATACAAACCAATAGAATATGCAGCGCGAACGCAATCGGTTGGAGAGAACCTCCATGCTCCTGAAGAAGAATTGCTCCTAAGCCCAGGTCGCTTGCGTCGGTGTGAATCACAAACTCTCTGTTCAAATCGGGTAGCTGCAGCTCGGCCGTGTTGGCCAGCAACTTCGTGAGGCGACGCAGTGCAGCCTCCTGCTCTTGGCGAGCGTTGGGCTGCTCAGTGCAGCCCAACACTCGCCATTCCTCAAGAGCTTCGTCAAAGGCACCTGCACTGCCGTGCAATCTTGAATGAACTGATGATAAAAGTTCACCATCCCCAGAAAGCGTCTCAGCTCACCAATATTGTTCAGCCATGGATAGCTGACTATCCTTCAAGCTTACCCTTATCCAGCAAAATGCGACCCTCATCAAGCGTGAATTCCAATAATGTTATTCGGGTCGCCGCTGTCTGAGCTTTGTTCAGGTTAGAGTGATGCCTGCACACCTCAGCCTTTCTAGAACGTCTCTCAAGTGGCGCAAGTGCTCCTCGAACGTTTTCGAGTAAACCACTATGTCGTCTAAATTTGCGAGTGTGTGCTGCCACTTTGCATCTCCCAGAACATGGTTCATTAGCCTCTGATATGTAGTGGGAGCTTCCACCAAGCCGAAAGAGATTCTCCTGAATCGGAAAAGTCCTCTGTGGCATGTGAAAGCCGATTTCTATTTATCCCGCTTGTTCATCTCAACCTGAAAATATCCACAGCTACCATCGAGCGTTGTGAAGTACTTCGCCCCACCTAGGTTGGATACTAACGATGAAATGGAGAGAAGAGGGTATGCGTCCTTCTTTGTAACCTCATTCAGCCTGCGGTAGCCTACACAAAGGCGTTATGTATCATCTTTTTTTTGGAACTAAAACTACTGGGAAACCCCATGGGCTGTTTGACGTCTCAACTACGCCTGTTTCGATGAGTTCGTCCAAGGCGGCGTCAAGTGCTTTGCGTTCAGCCAAGCTGATCGGTTGGGGATGGCATTTCCAAGGTTGTGCATCACCCGTGTCAATTCTATGCTTGACCAGCGTAGCATGGCTGAAGCGGTCGGTAAACATCACGTCATACTGGTACAACAGCGACGACAGCTGCGGTCGTTCCCCTTCTGGCAGGCTCTGTGCCTCTACCAAAAGCGAGTGCACTGACCTTCCTGTAGCGCGGCACATTGTTCCGGCGGGGTGGTTACTCGCTTTCTCGGTGCACTTTCCTCCTCGCATACTCGCGCCTCTCCCTGCGATTGGCATGCTTTTGTCAATGCGAGGGCCTTCGAGACAAGCTTTAGAGCGTCTCCGTCGGGTTCTCACTAACCGCCCTGTGCAATGTCAGTGACAATACCCGACTTGGCGAGAAGTCCCGACCCAGGATTAGAGACATTGACAGCCCAGCAAGACGCACGAAACGTTGTCGCCTCGCGCGTCTATCCCAGCGGATCACTAGCCTAGCCAAGCCGCTCGATTGTGCTGTGTCCGTAGCAAGGCAGAAAATGGTGTTGCTTTGTCTCAAGCGAATATTGTCCTCACGGAGATGGTACAACACATCGTCACCAAATAAAGAAGCGTTTGCCTCACTATCCAAAAGTGCTATGAACTTTTTTCGAGCTATTGTTAACTCAATTAGCGGTGCGGGCGAGTCTACAGCATCACTTCTGCGACAGACTGAGGGTGCAAGTGATCCGAACGCATTAGTGGGATTACTGATTGCCGCGCGTGGTCCAATGTAGATCACCGGCGGCGCTGTCCGTTTCCCGAACTGCGCGTTTCCTCCTGACCCGGTGTGCGGTCGCACTCGCGGGCGATGTGCCCCAGCGCGCCGCAGCGATAGCAAGGACCGCAGAAACCACGCCGGCTCGATCGTAAGTCGCCTCGATCAGGTGGCCCTCGCTCCAGGTTGCGCCACTCGTTAGGGCTCGTGTCGACCACGCGCTCCTGCCTTGGAATGTCACGCGCGGGGCAGCGGCGTGGG